TGTGTTGGATCTATTTCTAAAGGAGCTTGCCTTAGTTTCTAAATTCGCAGTTTTTTCACCTGCATGAAAAGGAAAATAAATGAATCTGTCTCTGACATGATAGGGTGTAATGTCTTTTATTTTTTACATTCATTAACGCGTCTGTATGACGCCTCTTTTTGGCTTCGCATTTTGAACCGCACCCTGTGATCCACTCCTTAAACTCAAGTAGCCTTGGCATTCGTGCAATTCACAAGTTGGTGTGTGCGGAGAACTGGGTGGCCATCGATCAACGATTCACGCCAAATGTATTGAAAATGTCTGCAAGCAGAATTTACTGTTAGTTGTTGACACATTGAGGTATCTGTTTAATATGCATCTAAACTCAAATACCTGCCACCTAAGAGGTGAGCTATTGTTTAACTGACTGGTTATAGAGATGAAGGTAGTTGGGATAAGATTTAGCCAAAAAATTTAGCATCTTTAATCTGCCGTTTTGTAAGGGCAATATGTGGAATAAGACTCTAATATCAGGATGGCAGGCACCGACAGGTTTCGGACTCCTGCAATCTTACCTTAGGCCTACTATGATTCACATTTGAAACAATAGTAGCATTTGGGGTTTTCGGAATCATCCACCAACTTTAAACTCAACGTCTCAAGTAATGGTTGCATTATTTTAGCTGCTGGATGGTATGCCCATTGAGATTAGAACGTAAGTGAAAAGTACTAGCACTTTCTGTTAAAAAACCAATTTTTTTTATTCACAGAGAAAGGTAATGCTGGAAGTCTTTACGTCATTTGCTAACGAATATCTTTAAAGTTAAATTTATTTGACTTTTGTGAAACTGGAATTGGTATAAATGGCATTATCGCATGTAAATATGTTCCATTAGTTGAAAGGATTGGTACAAATGCATGGTTACTTATGTTAATACCCACAACGTATCTATCTTCGTAAATGATCATTCATCCACTGCAGCTTACAATTAAGAGGTGAGCAAACTTTTGCGGAATTGTTTTGTGTAAATATGGAGCCTATACACACTCCACATCACAAATACGCCTTATAGCAATGCAGACATGTGGTTTGACTGCGTTTGTTAGGGACCGAATGTTTGCAATTTTTATTTGCCATGGCGCAATATCGCCTGACTCATGAGACACGGATGTGTAATAATTTTCGTGAATAACGGAAGCTTGCAGAAGGGAAACAAAATGTAATCAGCATTTCACAGATAGTTGAATGCATAATTTGGTGGGTTTAGGTCCAACTACTTCCTAGACACTTTGTGCAAGAAATTCTGAAGCGGTTAAAGACCGTTATGAATAGTGCTTTTGATACGCCACGACAATGAACGACTTTAAAATATGTTACCTTGTGCTGCCAACAAGCCGAATCGTTATGCAACTCTTCGGCTGTCAAGAATTTGGTAAACACAACATCTGGGTTATTAGGAGTGCCTGCTACCCATCCACCGAAAGGAATGCAATGCTAATCATGGGAAGTTTAAATAACTTCGTGTGATAAGCAGTGAATTTTCTACCAGGCGTCACTCCAAGTACAGTTTCACGGCTTCAAGCTCTTGTTTGGCGAATTTTTAAAAAGCTACACTCCAAAGTTTCTGCCGATAAAGTGATGCCATGTTAGATATCCAAAACGCAAATTTTATTTTGGAAATTATGAAAATCAGATTCTCTCCGATTTTATTTGTCACTTCTCTGCGTAAGTTGAGGTATCTAACAAAGAAACGTCCCGTTCTTACATCTCGTTACACCCCATTTCGAGTAATCCAGTCTTTATTTGTTTACAAAGATGGCAAAGTTACAGTACAGGTGATCAATGAATCCTGAGCACATCTAATACTTCTACACCTACGCACTTAGATCTCCTAAGCTGCTTTTTTTTTATCAGAGAACGAATGTAGACGCGCTTATGTCTTACAAAGACCTTTGTACTACGAAGAATATGAATTTTTAGTAATTGGAACTAAAGTTTATCTAACTTTTAGACCAACTCCCTATATTTTCATCTTTTTAAAGTTTTGATGAAATGGTTAGCTTTGATTTTTGTACTTCATTTAGTCATGACATGCGAAATTGAAGCAGTGGCGATTTGAAACTGGAGTAGCTTCAAGTTGTAATAGTTTCCACTTTTCCTTGATAAACAGAACGGAACATTTAATACTACCAGGACCTATGAAGTTTTTGAGAAACATATTAGTCGAGAGAGCAAGGTCGTGTTTTCGATTCAAGTCAAAATCTAGTGCCTTTGTGTTTACACTCAACCACTCACCCTAAAACAGCCAGGAAATTAAAAGCGAATTTAGCCAATTGCTACAAAGGCAGCTGATTTGGATCAAATAATACAAAATTCAGAAAAAATGGCTTGATTTATAACACTTTCATATTCAGGTGCATCACAAATAAGTGACAGGCACGAAAATTTTTGAACTCATTAACTTTAAATATAATTGCTACCAACGTATTTCTATCAACATGTAGATTACGATCTGAGATTTACAAGGCAGCATTTACGACAAGCCAATAGCCTTCATTCCTACGAGTTAGGTGACAGATAGTATTATTGAAAATAATGGCAATTATTGAGCAATTGTCGAAAAATTTCTAACCAAAGGTATTGATATTTCCAGGGAAATTGCAGTTTTACTCCCAGAAAGCACTAATTATTTATAAGTCGAATAGACAAAACAGTTTTGGTGAGTATTCTGAATATTTTATGTGAATAAAAAATCGATTCATCACACTTAGTGGGGTTTTATTGGAAAAAAAAGTAAAAGTAAAAAATGGAATATTGTCCACATTATTGTTATTCGAAGTGTCGAAATGCATAAGTGGCCAAACGCAGAACCTTAAACAGTCACTAGACACACAATTATATCCCGGCTAAATAAGCCACTTGTGTGAACTTCCTTGAAGGAGTATTTGTACACGTCTATGGTAGAACGTGACCTCACATTATTCCACAATTTGTCTGAATGAAATCAGAAGAAGACGATCTGACAGGGTAGTGTGTCTTATTTTTGAAACTTAAAATTTGCTAGACATCTTCTCAACATTATCCTACTTAGTTGGCATAATATTATCCTAAAGGATAAATGGCAGTGAGGATTTTTAAATGTGGGGCCAAGAATAAGGAATAGTAGGGTAAAAGTCCCAAGGCGCCTAAAAATCATCACTGGGACAATTTTGACTACGGTAACCACTGGTGTAATTGTAAAAAAAATACGAAAATCAAAGTTGTACAATTTTTTGGTGTAGAGCGTGGTGCACGTGTATAGGAGCCTAGCAGAGTGGCTCACGAAATTCTCTTCAGATTTTTTGCCTCCGAGAGTTCCGACATGACCTCATCAAAGTCGGGAGTATCTTCCTCTCCTCCCTTATCGAGTGTTAAATACTCAGTGAAAACGACGCAGTAAAAAGTGGAGGCACAAGACATCCCAGAACGAAGTCGGTCCCTGTAAAAATATTAAGAATTAACAACATTTAACACTGTCAAAACGAAGGTACTTAAATTGTTCCTAAAATTAACTAAAGTCGTCCTTAGCATGTAGTTTACAAAGTGATCGTGTTTAAAATAAAGGGGTTCGACAGATGACTGATTCTTTAAATGCTACGAGATGCATCCGGAAGGGAATTTTGACAATCACAAAAAGAATGAGCATGTTGGTTAGAATGGGACTTTTTGAGTCAATGCGGCCGGAGTGAAACTCTGTCCTTTGGCTTGCAAACAGAGCTAAAAAGTCGCATCAATCCCACAAAAGAGCTTTCACTGGCCACTTAACCTGGAACCCATTTTTAGTCTACGAATTCTCATTTCTATGCGTGCCCGCACTTCGGGCACAGACAAAACACGTCGTTGAGACAAATTATACCGCCTAAAAAGTGCTTTTTCCGGTTTGGGTGTGTGGAGCCAATTGTGACTTTAATTCTTTCAAGCGGACACTTCTAGATTTGATTATTGCAGTGAGCCACGGGACTTACAGCAGCCATTCTGTTGCATAGAGCAGAGAGACCTGCTCAACAGGCACACTGACGGAGGAAAGAACGGTAATAATAATGACGATACTTGAGCTGGGTATGTGGGGAATAGCGATGACCAATGCACAGGTCAGTAGCCTGAAAAAATACCAAAGAAAACGTGACTTAAAGACTTAACTTCTAGCCCGAAATAACCACTTAAATTAAAATAGGTATTTAAGAATTCTGACCCAAATCTCCACAGCACTTAAACATTTAGGAGACATCTTTGGAGAATTTTGTTGCGTTTATCATTGCTGATGATTAATTTATAGCAGTTCAGTGTTCTGAAGTAGCAAAAAGTTACGTCAGCCACGAGTGCAATTCTCTTAATTTTTTCGCATGTGTTTTAGGGTATCCTGTTCTTGGAAACAGAACATTTTAGTGGCATCTTTCAATAGTATTAACCGACTGCTGTCTATGATTTGTTGCAAAAACGGATACAAATTTCAAAGAGGGTTGGCTCTCAATTAAGGTTAGGAAATGCATAAACCAAAGTAGTCACTTTTCACATTTAGCACTTGCATGGAACAATCTTGTCTACAAGAAGACATGAGCCAATTCATATTCCAAGTCTGCCATTATGTGTAGTGAGAATTTAAAGAAGCAAAAATGTTTGACCTCACTCGGCGACGGAGATTTTATTCTCCATCATTATTTATTCAACAAATTTTTTCGTTATTTTAAGTTAAGGACATTTTCTGTACTAATTCGAATGTAAAGTGGCGAGACGAATAAATAGAACAGAATTATGCAACCACCAGAGCCAGGGAATTCCGGTTTCCAACAAGACTTACCAGATAACTACAATTTTGCCTGCGTTGTCTCCCAAACCCTCCATCTGTGCGATGAAGACGCCGGATGCAGCGATGAAGATGGCCGAACCGTCGGCTTTCAGTGTAGCCGCCAGCGGAGCGACAAACCGCGAGGTCCCCTTGCGAACGTTCATTTCGTCACACCCCTCCAAGATTTCGGGAACACCAACGATGCTGCAAGAAAAGTACTTTCCATCAACTCGTACTGATAGGCATGGTGATTGGTGCACAAACCTGTCTATGGATGTAAATGAACTACTGCCATCTCATCTATGGGGGCAGGAAATCCAAGTGTAATAATTTCGTTGATCAGAATAATTCTACTGGTTTCAAGAGGATACTAAATATAGGTAAAAAGAGCTTTAACTATTCCATTCTGTTACGAGAGTATTTTGAAAGGAAATTTTTGTCCACTTCTAATTCGCTTCCTATTTAGTGACTCCTAAAATTATAGATTTTTAGAAGTTAAATTCTTTAAAAAATATGGAATGTGATACGCTATTTGAAATTAAGACGGCAGGAATTGATTTTATTGCCATAAGTTACTTGCCCGTCAAAACAATTTAAAACACAGGAAAATTAACAAATGGAACAATGGACAGCATTGTAGATCTCGGTTCAAGTCGCTAGACACTTAATCCTTAAGTAAAAACTCGGTAGAGTGATGCGATTTAAAGTCATTTTAAGTGATACTCTATTTGATTCGGCTAAAAAATTGCATGTTCGGTCACATGTTTAATTAGGCACAGCAAGGAAGAAGGCAATTCCAGCAACTTAGTCACTTACGCGCTTGTTGTGGCAAACACAATAAACCAGGCCTTCATCATATGTTTGATGGGAGTTAATGGATTTCTGCGGGTGAAGATCCAGTATATGAGTACTTCAAGGACCGCTAGAACAGCAATGCCAACCACAACGGTAGCTACAAAAATGCCAAGCTTTGCAAAGCTGCCCGCAATGTCGTCCACTTTGATAACAGCTCCAGCAATCATGAAGCAAACACCGATAGGGGTTGCTCTAAAAAGAATTAAAATGGATGTATGCGGAATGCGGTAAGGATACAACAAGCAAGCTAAGCCTCTTAAGACTAATGAGTACAATTATAAATAATAACCTAATTTCATTGTAGATATTTATAATGGAACAATTACTTAAAACCATCGTAGGCAACCGGACATACTGAAGAAATGCGCGAATCAGCTTCAGGACGACATCGGCTAGTGAAGCAAAGAATTCCAGGAAAGGAAGTCCGCGTTCTTTGGTGGCACTGGCAGCGAGACCGAACGTTACACACACAAAAATAACACCTACAAATGTACAAAAAATACCGTTTGGATTCGGAGAGACTAAAGAGGGACACACTCAGTGACAATGTCAATAAAAAATACAAATTTCAGTAGTCTGACGCTACTTTTACATAAATTTGTTGATGATAAAATCCATTAAAATATGACAGGACTATGCAAAGGTAACGTCATTTAGTAAGATGTTTATTTAAGATTAGGCATATCATTGGACCGACTAACAGAAGTTCTGCATAGCCAAGATAAGAAAAAAGCTAAATCATTATTCAGAAAAAATTTTTTTTGCAAATAAACCAAGTGCGTGTCTTCGACTAAAGATGGATAAGTGGACATTACTAGTAACCAGGAAATTAGAAAAAGAGATTTAAAAAACACAGAACTCTTGAACAAACATTTTAATTGCAATTTAGTAATACTTCTATTTACACAAAATAGCCTGCCTTGTTAATGACGAAGCACATTCCATAAGATTTTTTTGGGTCAATATCTGACAAGATTCAGCATCAACTAAATTAATTTTAAAAGACAAAAACCCTCAGATTATCGGCCAAGAATTTTCTACTGATGTCTGTAAATGCCACCATTCACAAGGCCTGCAATTTTAATTGCTTAACCTGAAAGAAGTCAATGCAAGTCATTTATGTATAAAAGCAAGCCTTTTGGGTTCATTATCCTAAAAAAATATGGCATGCGAACAATAAAACCTGCTTACCAATCATGTTGGTTCCATCATCTGTTCCCACAACTCTTTTGAATACCTTTTCGCCGGTTTCAGGATTGGTTCCTTCGTACTCATATGATGTGACCACCTAAAATAAATGAAGAACACTTAACTGATTCTAATTAAGTTGTTTTTATACATTTTTCGATTTTGCCAGTTAATTAATTTAGCAGCATAATCCTCTAATCAAACCTAAAGTATACAGTGTACATTCGTAGCAGAAAATTGGGATCCATTTAAAATTTCCGGAAGTCAGATGTTAGATGTTTTCTGCCCACTCATTAAGCATTTAATCAGGTCCAAAAATCATGAGTTTCCAACCAAATGCCAACACATTAAGGAAATATTTTTTGCCAGAATTTAGAGCCAAATGGTAAAGGTCTGGCTACGTAACAGAGGTGTTTTTGTTTAAAAGGTTGGGCGATAAGTGACCGGGCGGTCAATGTACTCTTAACCTTTTAGCATACCAGCAACTATTTAGATGATAGAACTAACAATTACTTGGCATGCGGCTATTGTCGGAAGAAGCAGTTATAGTAAAGCTGTTAATTCGATGTAATTTTTTTGAAATTCGGCCTTATGTGTGTCAAGTACGGATCAATGATTATGACCATCATGAAGCATTCTCTATGAATCTTTCGGAAAATCTGTAAGGAGGATGTCCCTTTCCCAAAGACAATTATTTCGGGTGGCGGAGCAAAGTTTAAAGTACGTACTCAATTTTTAGATAAAATCAGTGTACTGGACAAACGGACTTCGGCACGTAATTTACGAGAAAGATACTAACACCTTCGGCGTCACAATTTGGATTGGGGTTTGTGCTCCGGGTTTGACCAAGCCCTTCTTTTTTGAAAGAAGTGTAGCAGGCAAAAACTAAATGAAAATTTCAAGCACTGATGTTTCAGTTGCAGTGGCTAATTAGCTGCATGTTCGTGAAATCTGTTCCTAGCAAGATGGTGCACAGTCGCGATACATGCGACTGGCTTGATGAGCACTTCCCACAACCGATGGGTCACAAAAGCAAACATACTTGCTGAAGAGCAATGCCGACGATATTGTCAGGAAACACGTTTCTACAAGATAGAAAACGAGGCTGAATGTTTAAAGGCATGAGGAAGCGGATCAGGCGAACAACGTATGTGTTGGTGAATCAGCATCTCTAAGGCTATACGATTTGATAATTTTGTTCTTCATTATCATTCTTGTTTATGCACACCGGTTTTTGTATTAATGTCGGCAGTGGCCTTTCTGTTGGGCCATTTACTTTTGAGTCTACAATTTCCACACCGGACATAAAAGAGCGCATCTGAGCGCGAACTCGGCCATTGACTGCCGTAGTTCGGTGTAGAGCTGACTCATACGTGATTTGTGTGGGCTAAATAAGGGGTTCGACGAGTTGCGCCTATGTACCAGATAAACCGTAACTACGTCAAAGGCAGCTGGACTATTTTATTGCAGCCTATTTAAGTGATTCTTAGGCATAACCTAACTTACAAAAATAAATCTGCGAACACATCGGACGTGGTCGCCGGCATGGTGTTTTCTGGCTCTGGCTTTGACGGCCCTGACGCATCAGAGAATTTTCCTATGAAAATAAGAAAAAAAATTAAAAGTTAGAAGTTTTGCACTTGGCCAAAGTCATCATATCCTGACGAGGCAGAGTTCGCATCTGGAAACGAAGTCGAAATTCCTTTCGTTTCCCCATTTATTTTGCCCAAATTCTGGCAATCAAGATTCTCGGTGTTAAGGTTCAAAGTGGCTTTAACCCAGAACCTCCGCTCTTCATGTCCATTTAACTGACTAGAAAGATCATTTTAAGTACTAAATTTTGAGTTTTCCCAATTTCCAAGCTACCTGAGTAGGATTGTGTCTTGGGAAACCTATCTGCAAAATTTTATCTTGCGTGAATGGTTTCTCCTTGATTTGTGAATACGTGATACTCGATTACGGTTACTGATATTTTACACATAGTTGTTTTAGCCTATAAATAACCTGAGCACATTAATCGCCTCCTGAATCGCATTCCCTTACCTGGACCTATGGCCATCGCAGCAGCGGTCCCGATACTGGCTCCAAGAATGTTAAAGACGACGATATAAATGAAGGAGACAACGCTAATTTTGCCATTTTCTTTAGGATCCAGTTTTGCAATTACTAAAATTACAAAGAAAAAACAGACAGTCGGAGATGTACGTAAGTTAGTATTGCATGCATTCATTAGAACGTCAGTTGTGCCCTTCGCTTTCATTTGTGCGATGGATGCTGAACTCCGTTAAGTTCCTGTTTATTACGTGGAATTATTCACCCACTCTTCCTTCAAAGCATACTGGCTCGGTAGTTATGTGAAATTCATGAACTTCCATTACTTTGAATCTTCAAGAACAGAAAACAATTAATTCAGCTCTCAGATAGTTGACGAAAAAGAAAGTGATGTTGCTCACAGAAACTAACAAGCATGTTTTTGGGCCACGTTTGGCCAAGGTACTGTACTACAGTAAGAACAAGAAATCTTAGCACCGTAAACTTCAGGGAGAAAGATAGGAACGACCTACAAATTACAAGTGAAGGCGTGGGCGATTTGAATTGCTCCCACCAAATTTTCGCCGTACATAATTCATGTATGTCCAAAATATTTCACAGTGGCGTTGTGCATTAATGTCTACGATCTTAGTGTAGATACTAAAGACTTTATCATAAATAAAGAATGTAAGCTACAGAACGTACTGCAGAACACTTTTATCTTCTTTGGACAAATTTCGCATTAATCGTTTGGTAACAAGTACTTTAAAAAGGGTCTAAAACTTCCGCGAGCAAGGTTACAAATGGCAAGATTTCGTTAAAATTTGGTTCCAGTAGCCTGATGCCTCCCGGATGACTTTTCACCTGGTGTATCATGCTCATCATCATTTACGAAACCAAAAAAACAATCAGCGCAAGCTTCCTTAAAGTAATGCTGCTGTGTCATGCAAAGTACCTTTTACCATAACTGTACGTGCAGATATATTATTCAGGAATATACTTTTTATAAAGTTAATGCACTACTAAATTCTCAAGAAGGGGGAATAAATTTCGTTTTTTGAACTGACGAACTTGTGCTTCTTACTTCCTAAGGTTCATCCACAACATTAGAAAAAAACTGGGATATGCCAGATGGCAGGACAATGTTAATTCGTAGTAGAAATTTAGCAGAGTTACCAATGATTTGGTTAAAATCAAAAACATTTAATAAAAGGTATGCATTGGTAAAGTGGAACGCTGGAAGCTGCGACTTACCAATAATAACATTCGAAGCGATAAGAGGAAGAATTGTTAGTTTGAGCAGACGAATGTAGATGTCACCAGGCATTGCTAAATTAAAGATGGTTTTGGTAAGAAATGAGCATTATCTGGCAGGTCTTTCCATGAGTCTCCAAAGGAAGTTTTTGGATCAGCTTTGCCTCAAAGTTTGAATGCTCTGTACCTTCCTCAGAATCACCTTTAAAACTAGATCAACCCTTCTTGGAAACTTAAATCAACCAATTTCAGCTAATCTTCACCAAATAACGGGCTTTGCTAGAAAATTACGTTGGCTTCAGTGCTTTTAGAAACGTTTCATTTCCTAACGATGCTACATTTTCTACTTGCAACAAATTTAATTTTACTTGGATCGATGTTTCTAGTGAATGGGAATAGTACTGCTGGTTAAAAGTCACAAGTGCCTGTGGCAGCATCACAAAACTGGATCTATGTACTGTATTGACGGATCTTAGAAAGGTCAATGATGACAACTTACAAATCCAAACCTTAAGAGGTTCACTGATGGTCGGCAATTCTCGAAGGCCAAATCCAATAGCGAAACCGATGATAACGCCAGCAATAATGGTTATCATAAACCTGTTATTGCAAATGCATTGAACCACTTTATTGCGTTGGGGCTTTTCCTTGGCATTCGCATCGCTGACACTGATGGTACTCATGGTTTGCTAGTCTGGCAATACTTTGGAACCATAATCAAGCGGGGAATTTATACAAGCACAATAGATTGTAGTCGTTCCACCTAAGTGCTTGTGCGTGTACTCACATGCCCACGGATGTCTTCCAATAAAAACGAAGAAGGTAAACTGCGTAGGCGACCCAGGTGCCTTCAGACATCTAGTAACTTTTCTGACCAATTATTGTTAATGGCACCCGTCAAGACCTCTTCTGTTACCAAAGCCGAAAACTGATCTTATGTTATAGAGGTGTTGTGTGTACAGAAAAAGGGAGTTTTAATTAGTTTATTAGAAAAACCTTGGAATAGTGATCGGGTATATAATGCGTTGGATTGTTCACTTTCTTAGTGTACATCATAGAATGAGTTAAAAAGACGTGTTCAAAGGAGCTCGCGTACGACCTTACACAATACAAAAATGGCAATGGTAGAACACAAGGCGGTGGTTCTGTAGAACGTTCCAGTGAAGAATTTATATCGCAAGAAAAGATGTAATTTTAAGGTAATAGGCGTTGGGGTCAGCTTGATTCACTATAAATGGAAATGCACCCAATTCAAGGGAGATTTTTGAGCTAACAGTTTAGTTGTTAATTTAATTTTGAGAATCGACCCTTTATCGCATTTCTCTCACAAATCCTTGAATTTTCACCATCCCAATCAGGTGTGTCGCAAGTATTATAGAAGAATTGAGACAGTCCGATTTTGAAGTTTCGGGATATTTTTTAATTAAATCACATTTTTACACACTAACGCATCAAACATACAAGGGTAATAATAGACAACGGAGGCATTTTAATAGCGAAACGAACACTTTATTCCTTCACTATCATCGTAGTCATTTGTCTTATTTTGGTTGGTATGACAATTTTTTCATAGGGGGACTAAGTTAGTTTACGAGGCCCTTGGGCTTTGTAGTTCTTCATTGCGTTTTGGAAAGTGTTTTGAATGTACATCCAAACTCTATGGTATTTCATAAAAGTTTACTGTTGAAGCATGTTGTTCGCAGTGTTCCAGGTTGTCAATGCTAGAACCTGTCTACATATGCAAACAAAATGAGCTTTGAGATTTTTAGTCTCCAAAACAGTTCACATTAGCCGTTTGGTTATGATCCCGTATTGCCTGTCCGCAAGTTTCTGTTGAAAACCACTCATACAATTTAGAAAGATTTACCCTAAATTTCCAAGATAATAGGATAGGCAGTGTGGTTGTGAAGACACTGTTCCCGTCCAAATAAATTCCTCACGCCATTATAAGTGAACTGAAGCCGCAGGTGACAATGTTCTTGCTTTGGCTGTCAGGTAGGCGTGTAAATAAACGTGAATGTCCTCTTTTGCTTCTTTTATAGTACGCAAATGTGCCACACAAAGTACTGCTGCCTTGCAAATGTTTAAATGGCTTGCCTACTGTTGATCCGATAATTATCTCAATTTTTATTACGGAAAACTAAACCTTGGATGAGTTGAGTTACACCAATATGCCGCACCAGAATGAAGCACCTAGTTTTCGATGACGGGATAAGCATTTCGCAGCCAGGTATTGTATGCATTAATTTTCATCATATTAAAAATGAGGAGTGAAAAACAGGGGCTTTAGATGAGAAGGAAGTCAGTTTTAAGGGTGTGGATTTCAGTCTTAGAAATCATAAGTAAGGGAGAGTCACAGTTCCAGAACACATGATTTGTGTAGCCCACAATAATCGCAAAAGTACTGGTGTGACTGCGCAAAATTGCATAAGATGACTCAACTTTGAGGGGTGGATCTTTGCGCCAGTGCTTATGCCAATCGAACTGTTGAAACCTATCGCCTCCAGGGTGCCAAAGTCGATGGGGTTTAAAAAGCATTGGCAATCGTAGGGCTGTTTACTGACAAAGGCACCGTTCTTTTGTGAACTTGTCGACGGACCGCACCCACCACTCCGGCTGTATGAAAGGCGGCAAGCAATGCTTAAACAGGGCTGGTTAGATACCTTTGCAAAAAATTTATCTTACTCTTCATAAAATTACAAATAATACAGTTAACTTTGCCTTTATCTTAATAGCCATGACGCCTGTTACATTTTTGATAGAAAATAGATTTTTTACAAAAGTATAGGATCACGAAGCTATCTAGACATTTGAAAAGTGATGGACGATAGATGAGAGACAAAATTTTGCATCGGAATTCAACAGAGTCCGTTGTAATCCGAACTTGGCGACTTTTATTGACCACTTCCACGTCATATAACATTTCGTAGTAAAAGCTTTATGACTATCATGTTGGTGACTCCTTAAGAATCATTTAGGGCTCCTCTTTTCTCTCTGCGTATTCCACAATATTAAAGCATGAATAGTTCAACAAATAGTTTATCAACTCTTCTAGATAAATAGTAAATTTGACTTTATTTTCTTAGATCCAGCCAAATTTAATTTTCAGTCACGATACCGTTACTCTGAATAGATCACAATAGGCGATGTTGTGTGTTCAGCTTCGAATATCCGTGAAATGAAACATCAGAGGTTTCATAAGAAAGGATTTCCATTGGATCTTTGTGAAAGACCTTTTGAATATTTATTTACTAATCGGTTGATCATCCCCGATTTATTCCTTGTGGATGCTTAATCGGAATCAGAATATACTATACATAGTAATTTATCTAATAAAAGATTGACATTTACCATGTTCTTCTATTCCTTTCTTTATTGTCCATACCCACGCTTTCTTAATTCGCTGTTTTCAAATTACCTATCATAAAGGTCCTTTGGTTTCCACCAGATTAGCTGTTTATTCGGATCCGACTATGGGATCAATGGTCAGCTACCTTATATCCTCTCTCTTCGTTGCCACTTATATAAGACAATGAAAATGCGACATCATAAGGTGGTCACTAGTGAAGCAGGCGTCCTGCTTGAGAGTATTAGTAGGTGTTTGTGTGAACAGGGAGGGCCCAATCAAACGCTAGGTTCGCAAGTGCGCGTCATAAATGCAAGTCATCTTCAACTTAGCATGTTCAGACAAGCCTCCATTTATGTACCTAACAAGCCTTTTTATTTTATAAACGACCACACAAACCTATTCGTTTTGGGTATGCGTCATTAGCCAGTGACTGGTAAAACCTGGTATTTTGTTATACTGAATGTTTCTGGTGCGTCTGTGGCGGTCAGCGAATGAACTGTCGTGAATCGTGTTTATTCACACCCCTTAATCTGGTCGCTCCACCTCCGACACAGGGTTCCCCTTTTCGCAGCATGTCGCCAGCCGCGCGGAGCCTCAACTCCCCTTCATTCACACGGATATTGATCTTGGATTATCCTCACACCTAGGCCTCGTTGTTAGCGCATGCAGGACCCACACATCCGAGGTAAAAATATACACACACTACACAACGACACCAACGTGGTTGAGCTCTAAAGTAAGCAATTGTGTCCACGTCCTCTCTGGTCTTCTTCATCGCGGGTATCAGGGTAGCGTAATCGGGCCAGGGTTAATTCCGTGGCCCCGGTGTGGTTCATGACCACTTGCTGGGGCCCACAACAGAACATTGCTAACAAGCGTGAGGGAACGCGAACTCATTCTACAATCTTGAGGGCACCCAACGTCACGATGTCAAGCTTTCTCATATCAGCTGACGCCATAGCACGCTACGAACACACACACACACACCCTGTACAGCCACGCCCTCACTGTAAAAAATCGGTAGAACCAATATTTTTCCTCTACGGTCTCTTCTCTCGTGGTCGGGCCATGTCAGCGTAGGTCGTCGAACAACACTGGAAAGTCTGAGTACGTATAATGGTCAAGGTCACCAAATCCATCTCAATCTTCATCGCTCAGCTTGCCCCACATAGTGCTCTATTGAGTCACTCGTGTTTTTTTTAGTCCGATCCAATTTTATAGTAAAAAAATGTCAAGTGCCTTGCAAATGTTACTTTTAATAATTGGAGAAATGGGATTAAAAAAGTGGAATTCATTACTATTACGTAAGATGGTGAAGACTTGTTTGACAGATGCGGTGCAGATGGTGTAAAGCACCTCCGCCCCACTAGTGATTTGCTAATTCGACCGCACCCAGCTCACTTGAGCGCGAAGCCCTACGCACACCGGTGAGGTCAGGCAGGGGCCAAGCGAGATCCTGGCATACCCTGCTGGCAAACCCTCCTCTTGTCAAGAAAGACAATGTGTGTGAGCCTCAATGACATTATTAACTTAAGGCTGCTCTCTTTTATTCACATTATCTATCAAATGAATTTTTTTTTGATTTTTCACGGCTACTAGAATTCAGGGTACACGTTTTGTAAATGAACCTCAAGGCGCTATTACTAACCAAACTGTTTTCATCGTAGTATTTATAGTACAGATCAGACATTGCTTGTAAAAAGACAGGTCGTTTTTTAACTTGCAGTTAGTGATTTAATTTTTTGCAGATGTAAATTCGATATACTTAGTCAAACACAATAAAACATAAGGGATAGAGCCTAGTCTAAATTTTATGGTGCTTGAGAGTAAACAGCTTCATTTTCCCAAACAAAGTTGTTAGAATGTATCGTGTCATATCCACCTTAAAATTTTAATAATCGCGAATTCAATTTTCATCAACAGCAGATACTTCAATAATACAATCGATATGGGGGTTTTGATAAGATAAAGTTTGTTGTAAGTAAAAGATACACGCAAACACGACAGCTTGATCTTTATTAAAAGTGTAATATTGCGTCTTTAGGGCCTGAAGCGATGAAAATTTGTTGTTCTAAACGCATACACATGCCACTAAA